GCCTAATCTAGTGATTTTCAGTTAAATTATCGTCTGTACTAACTAATTCGCTTATTAAAGGTCTACTCCTCTAATTATTAAAATTGCGTCTTCAGAATCACCATTTTCTCATTCTTAAATGTGTAATGAAGCGATTAATCAGCTAAGTTTCAGTTGGGGTTTCCTTAGATTTTTTTTCTTTTTCTTACGATGATATTTTCTTTTATTTAACAACGTTGTTTCCGAATAGTTGAGGATAAAAAAAATCACCTTGTTAATCCAAATGAATTTGGTTATAACTAATTTAGGCTAAGACCAACCTAAGTGCCGTTTATTTGAACATTTTTCATGCTGTTTTGATTAATTCACTGAACTATAATTACTTATGCATTTAAAGTAAATGTTTAGCAGTTTTTAAATAAATAGTTATAAAACATAAATAGTAATTAAACATATTTTTTACCTAAAATTCTCATTGGATAAATTAAACTTATAAAATCGGGAAACATTTTTAAATGAACATAATTAGTTTAGGGTTCATGACTGAAATAATAAAATCAAAAATAACGATTCCGGGATTAAAACACCTTCTCACTTCTGAAATATTACGTTATTATTACTAAACACTACTTAACTAGTGAAAGTATTTAGAAATTATTAGTCAATTATGCCTAAATATTTAGCATATTATAGGTTGATTGCTCAAATTGTTAGTAGCTTACAAGCTTTTAACTTCGTAACCATCATTATAAAATCAAAAGTTATTTAAAATATGTCCTTTTTTTCTACGTATATAAGTAAAACAATAATAAACTACGAAGTATTGTTTTACTTACAAGTTTTACTAGTTTTACTATAAGTCAAACTATTATCTAACAAAAATGAAAAGAAAATATAAATGACAGAGAAGTTGAAGCTCGAAGGAATCTAGAGCAGTTTAGTTTCAGAGACGTTAAGCTAATTTACGTAATTATTAATGATTCATTCTGTAGAGAAATAGGTTACCTATTCACATTTAAATATGATTGCTGCTTAGTCATGACAAATTAAAAGATTTAAATTATTATATTTATTACCTAGTATGAAAGAGTTGAAAAGTAGTAAATGACACGAGAAATGATTCATCAAATTTGTTTCGATCATCAATAAATTAAATTAATTACACTAGTATGCAAAAATAAGGACGAAATGGGAAAACTAACATAACAAAAAAACAGGCAGTTGCAACAGAAGGAAAGGTCATTAAGAAGACTGATCACGGTAAGATAAAGTAGAAAATGTGTATATATGCACCATGACGTACAAGGGGCGGGGGGTCGCAAGGAAATAAACCGAGCTGGTGGAGGAAACCCAGTATTTATGTGAATGGTATTGCATGATATACATCAGTTTAAACGAAGTGAATTTGTCACAGTGTGATATGGCCAATATCGTTCGTGGTTGGGTCGGCTGTTCAACGACGGTTATAAAATAAAAATATCGTTCGTGGAGGCCGGGATAGCCTGGTCGGTAGGGCGCTGGGCCCATATCCAAGAGGTCGTGGGTTCGATCCTCGCCGGCCGAAGACTCCCCGTGTAGTAAATGGTGACTGATGCACGTTAAATCTGTCGAGTCTTAAAGTCCTCCATGTTCCCACAACAAATCAATACCTCTGGGGGTACTGATCCAGGAGTTTCCTTGTCTTCTGAATTGGTTCAAAATTGCAAGGTTACGGCGCTGAACATTAGTAGTCGTAAACCCAAAAATTGGGTCGGCTGTTCAACGACGAATATAAAATAAAATAAAATATTGTTCGTGGGAGCCGCGATGGCTCAGGGGATAGAGCGTTCGCCTTCCAATGAGGTGAACCGGGTTCGAATCACTGTCGATATGAATTCCGCATCCGGCTTGCACCGACCACAGTGCTGACGTGAAATATCCTCAGTGGTAGATGGATCATGGGTTAGAGTCCCCTTGCCGTCAGGCTAAACGTACGAGGTTCTCGTGGTCTTCCTCTCCACGTAACGTAAATGCAGGTTAGCTCCATCAAAAAGTTTTCCATTAAGGCAAATTTCTCCCAATACTCGATCCAGGAGTTCCCTTGTCTTCTGGATTGGGTTCAAAATTACAAGGCTATGGAGGTGAACATTAGCAGTCGTAAGCCCATAAAATTGGGTCGGTTGTTCAACGACGGTTATAAATAAAATATCGTTCGTGGAGGGCCGTGATAGACTGATTGGTAGGGCATTGGGCCCATGTCCAAGAGTTCGTGGGTTCGATCCCAGGCAAGGCGAAGACTCACCCTGTAGTAATTGGTGACTGATGTACGTTAAATTTGTCAAGTCACAAAGTCCTCCATGTTCCCATAATGAATCAATACCTCTGGGGGGTACAGATCCAGGAGTTTCCTTGTCTTCTGGATTAGTTCAAATATGCAAGGCTACGGAGTTGAACATTAGTAGTCGTAAACCGAAATTTGGGTCAGCTGTTTAACGACGGATAAAAAAAAAAAAGAAAAAAAAAAACAAAAAACAGACAACACAGAAGACGACATCTAGATAAGTTTACGAGAAATCGAATCATTGAGAAGTTGGGAAAAGGTCGAAGTGTTAGTGAAGGTCCAGTGTGGCTGCGGAGATCGGGATCACCCACATTGTTTTCCGAGCTTGGAACACATTTCAGAAGACAGGGACAGCTGTCCAGAGGTTTAGTAGAGGTCGTCCTACAAAACCACGGCAGCGGACGACCCGTATATAGTCAAAATTACATTCCAAAAACCACTTTGTCCTCAATTTTTGCACACCAGTGCATAAAACTTAATAAATAAATAACAAAAACTTCTTTTAATAGTACATATTATCCTTGAATAAACGATTTCAAAATCGAGGAAATTGTTTTTATTAAAATATGAAGAGGTCCAAACTTTTGACACATTTTCCAACTAAATAGTACCACTAATTAAAATGCATCAGTTGAATAATTGATACTGAATCTTAGTATGTGAAAAACCAATCACAAGATCAAAAGTTATGTGAGAATAATTTTTTTTTTTACTGTCAGTATAAAATTGATCAGTTAATCTAGGTAATCTTATAAATTCTGAATAAGGGAGTTCTGAAAATTATTCTTTGTTTATATTCCAGGTAGTTAAGTTTAAAACAAATAAAAGTATATAATAAACTAATGTCATTGAGAAATTCCACCATTTACGAACGTCGTATTTGCAGATTTTTAAAGCTTAAATCGAACTTAGTTGAAAAATCGAAAGACTTGGTGTCATTTACACTCATTTCAATTTTTAGAAACTTTGAAACTAGCTATTATGGACGTATTATATTGTGTTTCACCCGTAACACTCAGTTATAATTTTTTAAAAATGAAATTATTAAACTAATAAAAATTATTAAAAATCGGAGTACATATGACGTCCAGCCTTATTTACACAAAAATTAATAGAACTGCTCGAATATTTTTTAATTGAGTGGCATTCCTTTAAAATCAGCAAATATGACATTCTTAAATGGCGGAATTGTCTAATTGCAACTCAAAACTGGACTAGGCTATCTTGATTTTAACATTTCCATGTTATTCCATGTAATTTTTGCCTCAAATCAAATAGAAAAAAAATTATTATAACTAATGAAATGCATGGATATGTTGTTAGTATCACAAGTAAAACTCTAATAAAAATTAACTAAAAATAGAGTCTATTTATGGTACATTTGTATTTTTTGTTTTGATGAAATACATGGTGTTTATAAAGTCCCGGACCCATTTTGATGTTTAATAACTCATAAAATAATAAAGATAGATTAAAATTAATAACATAAATGGTTAGATAGACTCAAAAGTTTCATGACCCTTAATGAATTTCGTCGCAAGGAGAATATCAAGTCGATAGTCAATTTCATGCCAGGTAGCGGCAAGCATGTCGGCATCCACAGAGGCTGTTGCGATTGTAATTCTGGCTTTTAGGTCACCAATGTTCGACACGATCCTCCTGTAAACATTGTCCTTTATAAATCCCCAAAGAAAAAAGTCCAGCGGCGTTATATCAGGTGATCTGGGTGGCCAAGGAATTGGAGCTCCTCGCCCAATCCATCTTCCAGGAAAATGGTCATTCAAAGAACTTCTTTTTAACAGAAAAGACGGTCTCATCAGTCGTATACTTAGACATGTTGGAAAACTTCGTATTTCCACAACTAGAAGAGCTTCAGCCACATGTCTTTTTGCAACAAGATCGTGCACCACCTCATTGGGTAACATCGTAGTTCTTTGAATGATCATTTTCCAGGAAGATGGATTGAGCGAGGAGCTCCAATTCCTTGGTCACCCAGATCACCTGATATAACGCCGCTGGACTTTTTTCTTTGGGGATTTATAAAGGACAATGTTTACAGGAGGATCGTGTCGAACATTGATGACCTAAAAGTCAGAATTACAACCGCAATAGCCTTTGTGGATGCCGACATGCTTGCCGCTACCTGGTGTGAAATTGACTATTCTCCGTGCGACGAAGGGGGCACACGTGGAAGTTCATTGACAAAGGTCATGAAACTTTTTGAGTCTATCTAACCATTTATGTTATTACTTTTAATCTATCTTTATTATTTTATGAATTGTTAAACATCAAAATGGGTCCGGGACTTTATAAACACCCTGTATAACTGCATATGAAACGGGATTGAAGAATTGTATTTAATAAAAAAAGCATTGTAAAAATGATGGGTGGTTCCGCATACCATTAAAAACTATATATAATAAAATACAAAGACAAAAACATGTCGACACTTTAGGTTTTAACTTATAATGCTGAAAGATAAGATGAAAAATAAAATAACTAAAAGTTGAAGGTTGAAGCTTGGGATAAATCGAGAGCAGTTAATAGTTTCAGCGACATTAAGTTAATTTTCATATTTAAAAAATAAATTATGTATGGAAATAGGTTGCCAATCCGCTTTTTAAACGTTGAGTTACCTTAACGTGATTAGCTTAGCCATGCCAAACATAGATTAAAAGATTTAATTAATTATATTTATTACCTAGTGTGGAAGAAATGACAGGACCATCAGTAACAGATGTCATGGCAGTCGCGACAACATATTCGTAGTAAGTCTTTGCAGAAATTGATTTCAAAGTTCTTTTCAAAACAGCTTTGGATACAATTCTGAAATAAAGTTATTAAAAATATTAATGCAAAATTCGATATAAAAACCAAATTTTATATGATTTAATAATGATGTAAACTTAAATTGCTATTAATTAAGTTATTATTTATTACATTATAAAATAAAATAACTATTTTAGTTAACGCATACTTTTAAGTTTTCGAAGATTGTTTTTCTAGTTTTTGTAATAATTAAATCTGAAGATAATGAAGACTGTGAACTCAGAAACTGGAAGGATTTAAAACTGTCAAAAATAGTTCCCATGAAGTATGAAGAATATTTTCATAAAAAGAAATAAACGAGAAAAATAGGGATTTAATTTATCAATGCGAAAATCGTAATATTTATAAAAAATAAATAATTGTTTCACGCTCGATTGTATTTTTCTGATTTTTAATGAAATCCTACTTTCAAGAAGTCAAAGTTATTATTTCTACGTGTTCGTTAAATAATGCTCGTTATTATTAATTAAATAATAAAATCACATATAAAAGCATATTCCAACTGAATTAACTTTTTTTGAATGTACTCGGATTATCCACTCTCAAAATAAGGAACCTGAAACCGAAGTGTAGAATATCTATCCGATGCAAGAAAAATGTGTCTAGACGTAGGAACAGTGGAATCTCCATCTCTCTGCATATATATATATATATATATATANTCTATATATATTTTTATATATATATATATATATATTTCACATCACTAACGTTTTACTACAATAACGCAAGAAATATTTCATAATTAGCCAGAGGCTTATGACTTCAGATAAAAAATTTGTTTGTGAAGATTACTTTTATTAATAAAATTAAGAGAACGATGCGTATAATTAAAGCAAAACTTGTTGGCTAAATATGGGTATTGATCATAATCGGATTTTTTTTCTTCTTTTCTTTTATTTCGCAAATACTTACTTTTTTTCCCCTGTGCCAAATTAAATGAATTCTTTGCCAGTAAATACATTTCTTTGGCTAATGTACCTAAAGAGTTCTTCATTAGTGTGACTTAACTTGCTTGAGTTTGATCAGACAAATACTAATTTTTATTTTTTAAAATTTTTTATCTATATACACACATATTTAATTTAATTCGCACAATGCGTTGTGTGGATTGAAGCATTATTATGATGTTTAACCTTTCAGTGTTACATCTGAAACTACGGACTGTCAGGTAAATAAAAATACATTTTGATATTTTTTTAAGTTTACTTTTTAATATATAACTGCAAAGAGCGTCTTTCTGAGGGCACGAATATGGATGAAACGAAATTCATCTAACTACCACTTATGGTAAGGAAGAACACTTTGTGGTTTCCAATTGAGCATGAAAAAATCTGTATTTTCAGTAAAAAAAATGTCATAGGATTTTGGACTCAAACACACATTATGAAATCTATGCAATTTTATAACACTTTATGACTACTACTTACTACTTTTATAGCACGAACGTTCTCATAACTATGCATAATGGCAATCCATCTTAAGTTCCATTATGCAAAAATGTTTTTTTTCCTTCTTTTTTTTAATATATACATCGAAAAATCTCGAAGGTGAACATTCTTAACGTGAATTTCTTTTAAGGTGAACTAATTTCTGATTTACCGTCAAATGTGTATGCGAATCTTAAAACCTTAAACATTTTTAACATGAAAACACGCTTATATGTAAAATATTTTTTAAGGTGAACTCAAATTTCGTTAGTCATGGAAAAATTTTATTTTTAAGGTGAACAGAAAATTTATTTCCCCTCTGACAGATAAGAAAACTGATCATTCATAGTTCTGCATCTAAAAGAGTAGTTTTTTTTAATGCTTTATTGCAGCGTTTCCCGAACTTATGACTTTTGTGTACCCTTTCTAAATTTTTCGTAATGCTGTGTACCACTAATAAAAAAATGGAATTATTTTTTACTATAAAAAATTCCACAAAAGTTAAAAATCACAACTGGCTGTTGACACAACTAATTATTAACTGTTAACTCTGCAAAAAATAGTCAATAGAAAAATGAGTAAACGTAAATTATCATTGCAAGCTTTGTTTTTAATTTTTAAATAAAATTTTCGTTTGTTTGTTTCAAGATATTTCGCATAAGAACGTGTACCCCAGCTAAACCGTTCCCGTACCCCTGGGGGTAGGCGTACCACACTTTGGGAAACACTGCTTTATTGTAATGTTGCATGAATTAAAACTGTCGAGGAGTAGGGGGTATTACAGGAAACTACCAAACCCTTTTGTTCTCTAAATGGGAATTGAGTTTTTTTCCTCATGGATATGTCTCATGAGTGTGAATGTAAAGATGCATGTTTTCAATGTAATGACCACCCTCCCACGCTGTCATAGGTTGTTCTAAGAAATTGATAGTACTGAATTGCATTTCTATGGATGAAGTCTCATGAAGCTCAAATTTTTCTTTACATTTTATTAGCAAAAACTTTGGTCTACTTTCCTCTGATGGATGTTTAGGGAGAAATCGATCATTTTGTAATGAAAAAAAAAAACAAAAAAACATTGATTTATTTTTTTGAATCCGGTTGAAAAGTTATGAAAACTTTCGAAAAGAATAAGCGAATAAGAATCCAAACAGTAATCTATTACTAATTATTTTGGTAGTAATCCTCTCTAATTTGTGCATTAAATCAATTTACTCCTATAAGATAATTTTCACTAATTTTTTATTTATTTCCGCAGAATTAGAAAAAAAAAATAGAACACCGAAAGTAAGTCCACTTTTAACATATTTCGTCTGAATTGTAATATTTTTTTTCCTTCTTTATAACATTATTTTATTTTTTTTGGTTGTATTTATAATGAAATGAATGACGGCTATTAATTTAATATAAAGTGCAAAATAAAAATATTTATTGAAATGAAATACATATTAAATTACATATTTATAATAGAAATTTAAGATTAGAAAAGGTAAATAGATGGCATATATAGATAATAGAAAATTAACCAACCGATAAAAGAGGGCATCATTCCAATCAGAGCCATCGCAATATTGACGAATTTTTGGCATATCTTGAGGCAGTAAAAAATATTTTGCCAAGTGCTACCAATAATTAAAGTTATAGTATTATTAGTGTATAATTTAATTGATTTTTTATTTAATTATTATCATCGTATTTAATTTATTAATTGTCATAATAGTACTAATATTCAAACACAGAAAATAGGGAAAAATTCATTCATATGTTTTTTTCAAATTAATGGCTTTTTTTAAAAAATTATATATTAGACTTAATTATATACTAAATAAAATTATATACTAAAACTAGACGCTTATTTGTCAATAAAGTAGATTTTTAAATTTATTCGGATTCAGGTTAATGTTCACGTCCAAACTCCGTGAGGGAATAAGCATATTTTCTGAAATAAATATCTTATTTTAAATCGATTTTAATGCGATTTGTTTCATTTAATGTATGAAATCAAAATCTGGGTTAAAGTTTTATAACGCATGGTTTAACTAAATCGATAACATCATTTAAAAAAGTAAATGGTTCAAATTTAAATATTTAATCTCAATTTAATATTTCATTTTTCATACTTACATAACTAAAACATATTTTTTTAAATAAACATTTAAAAACTGTACATTGCATAATATTTAGTCAGTTATATCAAATATTCACATTACTTTATTAACAGCATGGAATTGCTGATCGATAAAGCGGATATATGAATAAATAAGCAAAGAATCTTTGTAATTTTGAATCCAATTTAGATGACAAGAGATTTCCTAATTTAGAAGAAAGAGAGACTAAGCCAAATTTATGTTGAATGAGAAACCATAACATTTTCATGATGAAACGCTATAAATGCGCTTTAGAAAAATTATAAAAAATGGAGAGTTTTTGGATCAAAGTTATAGTATTTTTCTATTAGGAAGCGTAAAAAGAAATGTATTTATGTAAATTTATTTTCTCGAAAAAATTTAAATACAAAATTTAATTTATCATAAAAACAAATGAATTATAAATGTTGACCTTAACCGTTATGAATGTGAAGGTTATCGTTTCATTTGATAATTGGGAACTTGATATTCCCCAATAACTGAACTGGAACCATTTTCCCTAGGGTAACTCTCAAGACTTGTTCGTTTACGCATGAAGAGCTTTTCCTTTGATTTTTCATACAACAGAATGGTAATTTTTGATTTATTTTCTTACCAACTCTATTCATATCTATGTTAACAAGGTACTAAGAACAATTCTTGTCATTTTTCTCTTAAAAGATTTAGAGCGCTTTCATCTTAAATGTTTCTAAATAGAGTTACTTTACAATTACAGTCTCAGAAAAATTGATTCACCGTTGAACCATAATATCGGTACCTTAAACTATCTGGGTGCGTAGCCAAATTAGTCAACAAAAAATAAGCACCTTTTAAGCAATTTCGAAGCACTCAAATAATATTTTTAAGCACTATTTTTAAGCAAAAATATCATAATTAGGTAGGGTTGGAAAGTTTTCGACTATTTACGGTTTTATCTGGTTTTAACCGTCATGTAAAAAAAAAAGAAAAAAAAAAAAAAAAAAANGATTGGGGTTAAATTAATTGTGAAAACGTTGAATAGAACAATGTGAACAGAATCTTTCTGCATAATTCGTAGCGAAAATCAATATGGTAAAGGAAAAATCTCAATTTGAAAAAGCGAAAATTGAGCACTTTTTAAAAACACCCAATGAAAAGAGCACCTTTAAGGGCTTTTAAAAAATGAAAATCGAAAATAAGCACCTTTAAGCACTTTTTAAAAACGCTGCGCACCCTGACTATAATATGGTGAAAATTAACTGAATTCTTAATAAGGTGTTAAATTGAACGATGTTTTCGATTAAATTAAACAATTGTCCTTGTTTGTGATGAGTTTTCTTAGAAAGAATGCACCCAATTCTAAGTTTTAAAAACATATATATAAAAAAAAAGGTTCAACATTTAAGTATAATATTGGTAACTTGATACTGAGTATTATAATACTGATATAAATTTCTAAAAG